GAGAGAGAGAGAGAGAGACGCACTGCTGGGAGTGACCTCTCTGCGCGTCCTTGGTGGTGTGTCCTGGGCGGGGTCGGGAGGGACGGAGCGGAGCTAGCGGAGCCGCCTGGGGCGTGTGGTGTCGTCGTGCTCCGCTTGTCTCCACGAAAATAAGAGGCAAGAGGGACGCGCTCACAGACACAGACACACACACACACACACACACACATTCCGTTACGTGCCGCCGCAGACATTTTAATGAGACCTTGTGTCGACAACAACATCCATCCCGCCCCGAGCACCTGGAGAGCCGCCCCGAAGTGCGACACAGCCCAACGTTTTCTTTAGCGTGACAAGCGCGTCACATAGAACAGTGTTTCGCGAGATTGGGAAACCTACGCTTCCCTGTATTTTAGATGTGAATGTTGATATTGCTGTGTGTTTCTTTATTCTGAAGAGTAATTTTTTTTTTTTTGCATTCTTTCAGAACACGATTTTTTTTGAGTTGGCCCCCGTTACACCATGTTTGTATCCTACGCATGCCTACCTCGTTGGCGAGCTTGCCGCCGGCCCTGGCACCGCCTGGGGAGAGGTCCTGTCCACCGCGACCCTGGAACAGAAGCAGGCGAGGCAGACCGTGAGTGACAGAGAACAACAACGAAACAGTACGCACATCACTTCCATACGAAGAAAACATCATCGTTTAGACACATTTCTTCTGAGACACATGAGGTAAAAAAAATATATTGAAGGCGCTGAAGTCTGCTGCCTTTACTCGCTATCTATAAATAATAATAGAGAACTCTTGGCTACCTAATGCAGAAGAATAAAAGCAAAAACTCAGTGCTCTTGCCAATTTTCCACCAAACCGATAAGAATAGGTGGTTGGTCTGGCCAGTTTCCTTACTTCGCCGATATGTATAAAGAGGTGGGACACATATTATGCTCGGCCAGTTTTTTTCATGTAACCTGCTGCACCAATCAATGACCTTGTTAATTTTTAACCGTTACTGAAAATAGGGTGAGATACTCGGTGGGCCGCTGTAATTGTCAGTCTCCGTAGGGTCCCTCTCCCTCCGCCTGCCTCCAGACCGCTGGGGACCACGTCAGCGCTTCCAGACGCCGCTAGTTGTTGAGGGGGGGGGGGGGGGGGGGGTGGGGGGGGGGGGCTCCGGGGGGGGGGGGGGTCTTTGAGGAGCGCCGGCCG